TTTTTTTTAAAGGAAGATTTGTTCTGAGAAAGCAGTATCGTACCCTGCAAAGACAGCAAAAATGAATCAGGCTATGGTCTTGGTGGCTTTTTTCTAAGTATATTCATCTTTTCAAGGCGAGTGTTCAGGCAAGTATTCTGGGGAAAATGAGAGCTCCATGCGTGAATGATTCATTTTCTCATCATGTAAATTTTTCTTCAATGTGTTACCTCTGGGATATCAGTTTAAATGGAGAGTACAAAATGAATGCTCAATTGTTGGTATTTTATAAAATCCTTCAAAGCCCTATGTTCAATTGAATAAAGATTTAGAGCTTAAGTTACCTATTTTATATTATGCTACACATTTTACCATATAAAGGGGTGGAAAGTTGAGGTTTACAAAACTAAGGGAGGGTCTACTTTCTACTACAGCCACCAGGTGACATGAGTGTAAAGTTGGGGATCTTGAGTGAACAGGAAGCATGTGATCAGGGGACCGGGGTGACGGGCATATGTTCATCAATGTGGTGGAAGAAAGGAATGAGTTGCCAGAAGGATGAAAACAGGAAAGCCCCTTTCGTAAGGCAGCTTCTAAAACTGCTAGACACTCCATTCTTGTATCCAATAAATATTTGCTAAATTCCTACTCTATATATGCCAGACACTGTGCTAGGTATGGGGGATATAGCAAAACAGACACTGATGACCCTGCCTGTACAACAGTCAGAGTGTAATTTGTGGTGGGAGTACATATGGAAAAGTAAGCAAGTAACAGTCCCACACTGTCCAGCACTTACTAGGTGATGTGCCATGTGCTGTGAAAGCACAGAGAAGCGGCACTGAAACCCAAGAGGAAGAATGGAGAAGATATTCCAGAAAGAGACCTCGTATTCATACATTACCACAAAGGCCAAGGGTGTCTGCCCTTCCTCAGATTAAACCGGTAACCAGAAATATGGTCAAGCCAAGAAAAAGCCGTTTAAGAAATAAGGCAAGTTTATTGGAAGGAAATGTAGAAGGAAAAAAACATTTTCAACGTTGCCCTGTTTTCTTTATCGATCCACATACCACAAGTAGCTGATGAAATAAAGTAATGGGAAAAAAGATGTAAAAAGGAAGAGACAATAATATAAACACTACCATCACCAAAACTAAAAGTAACACATCCCTATGAGCAGTGCCCCGGCTAGGACAGAACCTGGCCAAGAGTAGATTTTCCAGATACGCTTATTCTGGTAAAGAAAGTGCACATTGAATTAAACTTTCAAGAGGATTTTTGCAACCAAATTCAAGAATCTTGTGCAATTCAGTCAGTCTCTGTCTAGGAATATATCCAAAGTATGGGGAAAACCCAAAGAATTGCTGAATACGTGTGTTAAACAAGTATTATTTATAATTTGGAAAAATGGAAATGACCCAATGTACAGTAGTAGAAAACTGTTAATTACATATAATACATCCATATGATGGAAGTTTGTGCAGTCATGAAAATTGAATTGGAGGCAACAGATCAGAACAAACAAATTCTTGCTGTGGGCTATGTCTTTCTTGGGGTGTACACTTTTGCAGACAGAGCTAAAGCTCCCTTGTTTTCACATCATTACTTTCTCTCCCCCGCTTTTTTCCTAACCACAACCCTTCATATACACTTTTAGGCTTTTCTCTCCATTTATTTATCTTAGTAACAAACCCTAATTCATTCCTCTTCTAATTAATTTTCATAGTGGATATATTTCAAAGCAGGTTGTCATGACTTTGGAAACAAATAAAAAAATTGTGTGTATGTATGTGCAGGCACACACAACTTGTACATGCAGTGGCTATGTAAAAATATACAGCTAACAGGCAACTATGATAACCCCTAGAAAAGAAGAGGACTGGATGACAAGAAAACTGAAGTAAAAGGAGGCTTCCTTTCACTGATTATTCTTTGGTACTAGTTTTAAATTAGTACCAAGACATAAACATTGTCTTAGTCTGTTTAATCCACTATAACAAAACCACACACCAGGTGGCTTTTAAACAACAGGAATTTATTTCTCATGTCTCCAGAGGCTGCAAAGTCCAAGATTAAGGCAGCAGCAGATTCCGTGTCTGGCAAGAGCCCACTTTCTGCCTCATAGACAGAGCCTTCTTGTTTTGTTCTTACATGGTAGAAGAGGTGGGGGAGGTCTCTCTCAGGCCTTTTTGTTGTTGTTGTTGTTGTTTGTTTTTTTTGTGTGCTGGGATTATAGGTGTGAGCCACCACGCCCAGCCTCAGGCCTCTTTTATAAGGACACTAACCTCATTCATGAGGGCCCCACCCTCATTACCTAATCACCTCCCAAAGGCCCCACCTCCTTTCAACATCCGTCATTTCAAAATCTGAAATCAAAGAAATCTACTATTTATAATCTTGTTAAACCGAAAAGCAACTCTACCTTCCTTTATACAGTACCATTAGGCTGTGGGCTTACAAACCTGAGCCATATCACTTCTCCCACCCTTTATTGGAAGGTGCAGCAGTCAGGGTTTCTGCAAAAATCAGATGATCCACACAAAAACAGTCATTGAAAATACAACAGAGAAACTATTTGCATTCGTTTAAGCAAAAGTGGCTGAGAGAAACCACAAAGGGATGGTCAAGCTCTCTGGGTTAGCAACAGCAAGGAGACATTTTCACTCCTTGGCATGAAGGAGTGACACATGTGCTCAGCCTATAGCAAATGTATGATCTGGTCAATATATAAATAAACACATCTTGTAAATGGAAAGTAGAAATAATCTGATAGAATATGATCATTTTCATATAAGCAAGCATAGGTCCAGAAAAATGAAGCAATTGTGCCAAGGTCACATAATAAATTAGTGCAAGCGCTGATATGAAAAGGAAAAGGATCTGGCAGGGATAGAAACAAATTTACCGAGAATCTGGCATTTAATTATCTTAATACCTCTGAGAAAAACTTTTTTAAAGATGAAGAAATTGATGCTCAGAGACATCATGTAATGCTTAAGGTAACATAGCTGGTGAGGAGAAGCTCAGGTTCAAATTTGATTCTACCATCCAGTTCTCTGGGCTCTGCTCTTCTTGAGTCTTTATGCTGCTCTGCCCCTGTCATCCCATAGCCAGCTAAATTCTGTGTTGTTTATCTAGTCCATGCTGTCCAAGACTCAATCCTCTCATTCTTTTGAATTCACCCTTATTAATCTGCACTATCACAAAGAGCAATACTATACATCCATCCAAACTTTACTCTTTCTAAATAGAAGAGAATCTTCCTAAAGGGAGACTCATAAGTCAACACATTTTCACAGCATTTCACATATCATTGTTTTACAAAGAAATCTACTATTTATAATCTTGTTAAACCGAAAAGCAACTCTACCTTCCTTTATACAGTACCATTAGGCTGTGGGCTTACAAACCTGAGCCATATCACTTCTGCCACCCTTTATTGGAAGGTGCAGCAGTCAGGGTTTTTGCAAAAATCAGATGATCCACACAAAAACAGTCATTGAAAATACAACAGAGAAACTATTTGCATTCGTTTAAGCAAAAGTGGCTGAGAGAAACCACAAAGGGATAGTCAAGCTCTCTGGGTTAGCAACAGCAAGGAGACATTATCACTCCTTGGCATGAAGAGACGAGGGAGGGAGCAGTTATTATAATCCAGTAAGAAATTGGGCATTCAGTTACTGCCACTGTAGCCCAGCTGGGAGGAAGTCAGGGAAATAAATATCATAATATCACACTCCTACCCTTTGATGTCCTCTGCTGATGTTGCCATTGGTCTAACCCAACTGAAACCAGAGGGCAAGGAGACCGGTTAGGGAGTATCTCCCAGGATTCGGCATGAGGCACCAAGGCGCAGAAAGTTGATCTATGAAACCATGCAAAAAATACCCCACATGGTTTCTGCTGCATGCAGCATTATACCATTTGGTGGTCATTCCCTCCACTGACTGATTGCTGTGTGGGTCTCACCTGACTACTGACTTGTAACACAAGGCTCTCTGTGGTTCTGAAATATTCTCCAGATCCATAACTGACCACCTGAGGCTGTGGACTTCTCCATCTTGAGATTTTGTTTTTTTGTTATTGTTTTGAGATGGAGTCTTGCTTGGTTGCCCCAGGCTGGAGTGCAGTGGCATGATCTTGGCTTGCTGCAACCTCCACCTCCTGGGTTCAAGAGACTTTCCTCCCTCAGCCTGCTGTGTAGCTGAGATTACATGCATGCGCCACTGTACCTGGTCCCTACCTTGACTTTTGAAAACAGGGAAATGCTTGTATGTGATTGTATGTGAAATAATTCCCAAATTCTGTTCTTCATAACCTTGATATTTTCTATAAGTTCTTCCACCCAGCATCACTAAAACCCTTCAAGTCCAAGTCCCTGAAGGTCCACCCCACTGTCTTAAGAGGTATCATGCATGCTGCTCTCTGGGTCCTAACACACTTCCCCTGCACCTTCTGCAAAATGCTTCAAGAATTTCCCTGGTCAGTTGGCCAAGGCCATCTCAACAAAAAATTCTGTATACTCCCTACCTACTTGCAAAAGTGTGACATTTAAAATTAGCCTTTGAAAAGTTGCATGTAATTTCTGAGGACAGAATCAGATTTTAACATCCTAGGCCAGCTCACATTTGAAATGAAATCTTCCAGAGGCTGAGGGAGGAAGAAAGTAAGCCATAATGAAAAGCAGCCAGTACTGGAAATAAAGAGCCTGGATTTTAGTCACAGTTCCACTACTGAGCAGCTGAGCGACCTCGGGGAAGTTACCTAAGCCTGAGTCTATCCTCAGAAATAGCGGGCAACTGAGTGAAATGATCTTCAAGACTTACTGTGCGAGTATTCAATGCTCTTAAGAATATTTGTAAATTAAAGAACCCTTAAAATGGGGATGATGAACCTGTTTGAGGAAAAATTATATTTCTTCCATGTAACCAATGGAATCCAAATCACTTATGGGAGAAACAGTGTTTCTTTCTTGAGCATTGCCCTTTTCTCAGGAGAACGCATTTTTGTTCAAGATTTTCTTTAGAGCAACTTTGACGTCCTTATTCCTCAGGCTATAAATTAATGGGTTGAGCATGGGCACCAGAGTGGTATAGAACAGGGAAGACACCTTGCCCTGGTTCATAGGTAAAATAGAAGAGGGTTTGAGATACATGAATGCTCCTGACCCAAAGAACAGAGAAACTGCAATTATGTGGGAGCTGCAGGTGCTAAAGGCTTTGGACCTGCCCTCCGTGGAACGAATGTGGAGGATGCTGGAGAGAATGAGAGCATAGGAAATGAAGATGGTGACTGTGGGCACACCAATATCGATGCCCACAACAACAAACACTACCAGCTCATTCACATAGGTGCTGGTGCAAGCACGCTCGAGAAGGGGAAGGATGTCACACATGTAGTGGTTGACAAGGTTATTGGCACAGAAGGTCACACCCATCATGCACGCTGTGTGGGCCATGGCCCCAGCAAACCCCATCCCATAGACACCCAGCAAAAGGAGCAAACACACCTGGGGAGACATGGTGATCGTGTATAACAGTGGGTTACAGATGGCCACGTAGCGGTCATATGCCATCGCTGACAGGATGAAGGACTCAGAGACAACAAAGAAAAGAAAGAAGAAGAGCTGAGTCATACACCCAGCATAGGAGATGCTGTTCTTCTTCGAGACAAAACTCATCAGCATTTTGGGAGTGATAACACTGGAATAGCAGAAATCTATGAAGGACAAGTTATAGAGGAAGAAGTACATAGGGGTGTGCAGGTGAGAGTTGAGCCCTATCAGGGTTATCAAGCCCAGGTTCCCCACCACAGTGACCACATAGAAGCCTAGAAACAGGAAGAAGAGGGGGATCTGGACTCCCGGTTGGTCGGTTAAGCCTGCGAGGATAAACTCTGTCAGGAAGGAGGAATTCTTGGCAGCCATTTTCATTTAAGGCATTCTGTGGGGACAAGGGAAAAAGTTGTTTAGAGAGAGAGAGAGACCACTGCTGCCCTCCCAGTCACCCTTCTTTCTTTCTTGAGAATAGGAGGCACACAGAGAGATTTTGAACTTCAGCAGAGGGGGCTTTGCTGCGGCTCCCTCTGGAGTACACCCGCCTCCATGGCCAGGGCAGGTGCTGCCGGGAAGGCCTCCCGTCTTTACTTTGATCCCTTTGTTGCGTCCTTTCAACTCCAGTTTCTACTTAAGTTTACAGACACTGGGACCAATCTCCAGGAAGAGTCCTCGCAGAGGCCGGACCCAGTCCACCTGTGCCTGGAGACTTAGGGTTAGGGTCATCCTGGACAGAGCAGAAGGGTGGAGCGGTCTTCCCCAGGACTTTAGTACCTGACACTGGGGACTCAGGAAAAGTTCGGACTGCTCATCCAGATTCAGCCACTCACCCTCTTCAGCCCAGAGCTTCAGTGATGTACCTTTTGGTCCAGCTCTTATCTTCACTTGTTCAGGCAGATTGGCTGCGGAGATACCACAGATGAAAGACTAAGCACCAGCCCGCTATGCCCTATCCCGATGGCAGCACTGGAGCCTCGGCTGCCTCAGAACTCTTTCTGAGCTACAGAACATGGCATCTGATGGAGACTGTGCCCTGAGGCCTTTCTCTAGCTTGCAGAAAGGTGATAGCATCCTTACCATTATCAGTGACAGCTGATGACAGGAGACTGAGCAGTTTTATTTTGAGTTTGGAGATCTGGGGAACTGATTAGAAGTAAAACAGCAGAAGTTCACCTGGGATCACAGCCCGAAATATAACAAAGTTGTGCTCATACCCTTGATAATATTTGAATGGGCTTTTAGAAACATGCAAATATTTGCTCAATTAACATTTACTCGGAAATACACAAAGCGTTGTGCAAAAACAATAATTTACCATTTATTGCGCACTTAATGTATGCCCAATGCTTTTTTCATCCTAGCATTATGCACTGACCTTAGCATGCCAGGATCCAATACCATTTTTCATATAATGCTTCATTTTAATTCTACCCCAAATTCTATGAGCTGGGTTTTATCACCCTCATTTTAGAGATGAAGTAACTCCCTAAATGTTAAATTACAAGGCCATATTATAACTAGGTCCATCTTACTTCAGATTTGGTGCTCTTAATAACTGAGTTTAATACCTCCCTGTAGAAGATAATGAAGTATGTAAAGCCCAGTTCTTGCCTTCAAGGCTCTGACCATGTCTTGAAAAAGATGCTAGAACACACATAACTAAGCAAAAGCATGCGATAACATCCAGAAAAGGTAAAAACAAAATGCTAGGCCACTCTGGTAGAAGACATTCAACCTATCACTTATATTTCAGTTCACTGCTGAGCTGCACAACCCAGTCCAGAAAACAAACCAACCTGTGTTTTCTTGAAATTTGAGCTTTCCAGTAAAAATCAATCTCCATTGGTTAAGAAGAGTTTTTTTCCAAAATTGCTAACTTATTGGGATTCCCCTAGATGGCCCCTGTCCTCTATCGTTGCTCTTTCCAGTCTTATTTTCAGCTTTCCTCAGGCTCCCATCCCCTCATCGTGAGCCTGAAGGCCTTGTAGTTTGATTCTCCTTCTTCCCATGGGATATTTGCTTTCTTGTTTTGCTTGCTTTGCTCTTTTCATAACTTCCCTCTCTCATTACAAAAGTCATCCCTTCTGTGTCCCAGCCTCTCAGAGCCTTGCCTGAGCTCAGTGACAGCTAATTATCATTCTTGGAGCCCCATACATTTGAATCAATATTTAAAAATCATCTGATCCTGTGGTTCATAAACCTGGCTGTGCAATTGAATTAGATAACTCTATGCTTATTAAAAGTATTAATCCTGCTGCCCCAGGCCAGACATCATAAATTAGCATCCCGAGGCATGGGGTTTTATAACTTGTATTTCTCACCCTGTTGATCTGGGTATTTAGACAGGTTTGGGGTTCTCTGGCCTAATCCTCTACCCTGTGTTTTCTAGGCAGGAAAATTGAAGTCCACCAGTCAGAGTTGGTTGGTGGTGGAGTCCAGAATAAAACTTGGGTCTCCAATCTTTCCAGTTACATTGTCTGGAAGAAATTCACCTGGCCTTTAGTTTGGCTGGAATGTAGAGTACAGGAAGGGATATAATTGTGTATCAACCCTGGAATAGCATCCCGGGTTCCTACTGTGGAGAGACTTGAATGTCATGACAGAAATTATGTATGCAATGTGAATCCATGGAATATATTGAATATGAGAGTGACATGGTCAGAGTTATGGGGAGGGAGACCAATTAGCCTATTGGGCTATTGGGTGTTGATGACTTGATGCCATGTGCCCCCCAAGTGCTATGTTTAATGCGTAATTCAGACACAATGCCTCAGCTCAAAGCACCAGCAATAAGATAAAGGATGAATTTCCAAAACAAGTAACAGGTAAATGGAGCAAAAGGCCTTTCTAAGCTTTTTAGCACATTCTGAATCACATAAGGCTGGCTCTGCCTTCTGGCTGAGTTGTTCTCTGCTTACTATCCTGAGTATTTTCACCAGGCCTGAGTTCAGGTCCTATCACCAAACTCTCTGTGTTGCACATGTTTTATGCCTCATTTTGTATTACTCAGCCTGTCTTTTGGGCTTCTGCTGTTGCTGTGGCGGTGAGCTGCATCCAGCTGTAGCCCAATAACAATGTTTCTTGACTGCACTACGTATCCCCTCCTTTCAGCCCTGCGATATCTCTGCCACCACAAAGTGGAATGTTTGAGAATCCATTCAGCCATTCTGGTGCACGTGCTGACCTGTAAGCGTGAAGGAATTAACACCCCTGGGAGCCAGTGGGTAAATGTCTCCCTTTTCTGTATCTCCAGTGGTTCTTTCCTCTTAGTACATCAAAAGACCTCAGAGGAACTAATCCTAAATTCCCCATTAAGGTAACATATAACAGAACATTTTATTGGTTTTCCACACTTCCCTGTTTTTCTCCCTCTCTTCCCTGGGATGACCTCTAAAAATAAGCTATCTGCAAGCATGGCCTTGTCCCCAGCACAGCTTTTTGTGGAAATCCCAGCTAAGGTACTCCTAAAACAGTATTTGGAGCAGGTTTCAACAAAATGTTCCTTACTCCACCTGGGAGGAAGCATCCTCACCCAAGGCTCTTTGATTCCAGGACAAGAAACTAAATATGAATCACTAAATTCATCAAGGACCTGAAATTATTCGGCACCATGTTACAGAGAATTTTTATGTCTTGAGCATGACCTATCAAAATGCCTAAATGCCAGAAGGAGTAATCTCAAATAATTATCGGCTCACACCTTAATAGGGATTAGCCACGACGAATCCTGTGGTACTTTGTTCTTAGATCTCTTGCAGCTCTACTCACAATGTATTACTGTCCAATCCCTCCACGAACTATAGCGATGCTAAAAACATTGTAGTTTTATTCACTTTTTTATCTTTAAATCATATAGCTCGCAAAATGCTCATTAATCTCTAATTCTCAATCTCCTCATCTGTAAAATGGGGATGATGGTGATAATTCACAGTGTTGTTGTGAGGGTTAAATTAAATCTTGAAAGTGGAAGAGCCAAGCAGAGTGGTTGACAAATGAAAGAGCCCTGATAAATGCTATAGAAAACAGACATAAAACAAATATGAAATGTATATATTCTAGGAATGGCGTGAGGGAAAGAAAAATCTTGCTTAAAGCTAGATGAGCCTGAAAGAGGCAAGAGAGGGGGTCTGCCATAGGGCAGAGGAAGAGAGCTGACAAGAGTGAGAGGAGCTTTGGAAAAATACACTCTTCAGACTTTAAGGCCTGTCTCTCCAACACAACCCAATCCACAGACAATATCAGGCCCTTGAGTATATTACCCTGTCCCTACTCGCTGTCCTATCACCAATGCCTGTTTTTCAAATATCCACATTCCACCACACCACAAAAGCCAAATTCCAAAATCAGGTAAGGGTTTCTTTACAGTCTCCCATTTTCTCTTCCTATACCCATCTCTAGTCTCCTAGTCTCAGCAAAAATTCCTCTTCCCCAGCATTCACAATCTTAGTGCTTACTTTCCTTCAATTCTATGTCAAAACTAAGTTTTCAGGAAGAATCTCACAAATGTATCCGCACACAATCTACTAAAACTTGCTGGGGACAATCCACATTCTTCACCTTCCTCCAGGCAGTTTTTAAAATGAAGACAAAGTCTTTAGCCAAAAAAAAACAAAAACAAAAACAAACAAACAAAAAATCTCTAATTATGAAATTTCAAACAGCACTCAGTTAATGAGAGGTACATTTTGGTCAGGATAAGGCAGCTGAAGTGGTGGCTTCACAATTAGAGCCCCATTGGCAGCTGTCTGACCTCCATGCGTCAAGTTGATTACCACCCTTCTCTCAGTCCTGTGTGTGTAGTGTGTGTCTCTGTGTGTGCACGTGTGTGTTTTGTGTATAAGTGCTGGGTGACATCTGAACATACCTCAGAGCTTGCTCCTCTGCCACATGTGGAATATATTTTAGTCACTGCTCAGAAACAAGAGGCCTCAAGTATAACTCTTATACCTAGAAATTTGCCGCTCCCTCAGTGATTATGAGAAACCTCAATCCTTGCTCTCATTCCCACTGTAGTTAACTCACAATTTAAGAAAATAAATCATTATTACAAGCATGAAATGAGTCCCACAGGAAAGGTGCTCCTTAGGGCACAGAAAGCAAAGACTCCAGCTTCATTAAAAGTTGACTTTCCTCCGGGAGCCTTAGAGGATTCTTGTTTGGATGATAGAACAACCAAGAAAGTTCTTCTGGATGTATGTCATTTTAAAGCCTGTTGCCATGGAAACTACGCTTCAAAATCCTCTCAACTGGGGCTTTACTAAAGTCTTGTTCCCTGAGGAGCAGATGAAGCCCAAGCAGGAAGCAGTGTAGGAAGAACTATTCTTAACTCTGTTCCTTTTGTTACAGAACTGCCCTCCTTCCAAAACTTGAATTTCTGTATAGTGCTTCTTTGTTTTATTTATTTCTACGTTTTCCTATCTTTTTAAAATTACATTCTAA